ACACTACCAGAAAAAGCAGGGAGGGATCACTAGGTACCTGAGCGCAGCAGGGTGGCTTTCCCCAACTCCAAGTATTTCTTCAGCCACTCTATGCACATGCTCTGCAGGTACGCCCTCTGGTGGTCGGCCTCGCCCACGTCCTCTAAATTGCGCTTAGAGATCTGTGAGGCCAAGTCGTTTGTGGTCCAGGAGCGCAGGTCGTCGTTCAGGGCGATGTAATCCCGGCCATCGTAGGCCTCCTGACAGTACCCGCGGAGCAGGCGACCGTTTGGCCCCAGTTCGCAGCCGTACATCCACTGCAGAGTGTGAGGGTCTGTGGGGGACACGGTGGTCAGCGCCACCTTGCGGCCACCCTGCCCATAACTGTCTTCCATAACCCGACCTTTCAGAAAAAAAACTTCACACTGGAAACCTATGCCAAACTCTTCGGGTGTTTCCTGTTTGAGGATCTTGGCAGGTGTTTGAATGAAACTTCCACCCAGCAGGCCTGGATGACCAAGGCCCGTCACAGGGGCCCCGATCACAGAAAGGTGGAGTCTGTGATCGGGCCGCGGTCACTCACCATTTTCACTCTGGTTGTAGTAGTGGAGCAGGGTCTGAAGGTTCAATCTAAAGTTCTTCCCTGTGTTCTTGGCTTTCCGTGTCTCCTCCTCCCAATACTCCGGCCCCTCCTGCTCCACCCACGGTGCCCGCGGTTCTACCCTCGGAGTCTCCGAGTCGCTGTCGAAGCGCACGAACTGCGTGTCGTCCACGTAGCCGACGATGATGTACCGGGGCTCCCCGAGGCCGGGCCGGGACACGGCGGTGTGGAAATACCGCAGCGAGTGCGAGCCTGGGGGCGGCGCGCGGTGAGACCCCGGAACCTACTCCCGGCCCAGGGATCTCGGTGAAGGCAGGGGAGACACCGGCCTGGGCAGCTAAGGTGAGCTGACGGGGTACCGCCCCCACCCGGCGCCCTGCTCCTTCCCGCAGAGTCCCTTTCGCTCCCCACCCCTCACTCACTAGCCTGGGTCCGGATGAGAACTGTGGCCAGCAGCGTGAGCGAAGAAGCAGAAGACATGGTTCTCACTCGTGGGACTTGGGGACCTTGTTCCTGTTGACTGTGGAACTTTTGAGCCTCCTTGTCGCTGATTGGCTCCTCTAGAAACAAGGTGTCCAATAGGAATGAGAATTGTGAGTGCATCATTGGTGTCCACAGAGAAGAAGCCAATTAGGGTTGAGAGACAAATTGATAATGTGCATATGGACAACCAGTGCTGGGCACCACCCTGGCGTCTTTATTAAAGAAAATGGTGTAAGAGCCATGACATGACCTGGGACTTTAATCGGACCCCTGTCCTCTGGCTCTTATAACTCTTGGGCAGCCATGCATGCCCTGGATAGTGTGCCCCGCCAGGGACTCAGCCCGGCCCACCCGCAGGAACAGCCCCCAAACCTAAGGCAAAACTCAGACTCTCACAGCGCATCCCGCGGCCTCCTGCGGATGCTCGAACACTGGGGCCAGGGGAGATTCGGGCCGTCCGTGGGATGGTGAGGGGTCGTGACCTCCGACTGGGGACACACTCACCGTCCCGACTCTGGTGGTAGAGGTGGAGCAGGTTCCGAAGTCACGTTCGGAAATTCTGTGTGTGTTCCTTGAATATCCGGGTCTGGCGCTCCCAGTACTCCGGCCCCTCCTGCTCTACCCACTGAACCAGCGGCCTGGCTCTCAGAGTTTCCGCTTTGCCATGGAAGCGCAGGAACTAGGAGTTGTCCCCGTAGCCAATAGCAAGGTACCGGGGCTCCCCGAGGCCGGGCCGCGACACTATGGTGTGAGCCTGGGGGCGGCGCACGGTGAGATCCCAGCCCTCCTCTGGGGACCCCTGGCAGTTGCACAGGCCGGGAGGTGAACAGCGTGCGCGGCACCATCGCCCCATCTCAGATCTGGGGCGTCTGACTTCCGCGGGCTGCGTGGACTTTATAACCCGTGACCGCGGCGACGCTGGTTGGTTCTCAGGGATCTCGGCATCCAATGGGGGTGCGAACAGGACACTTGTCATCAGTGTCCGGGCAGAAGGACCCGACACAGGTCAGGAGCTGGAGAAGTGAAACTGGGGACATGGGGAAACCTCACAGCCTGGGGACTGAGACTTTCCGAAAACACTTAAAATTGGAATAAAATGATAAGAATACTGCCCTACAATAGCTTCGGGCAGATGGAAAGGCAGGATAATTCCTCCTCTTTGAAAGCTGGGGATTCAGCTCAGAGTCCTCTGAACTCCACAGGAGGATTGTCAGTTACCTGCTGCTTTGTAGCAAACCAGCCAAGTTCAGCATCTGGAGACACCAGCCATTCATTACTTCCCACAGTGTGTGACCCGAGAGTCCCTGAGTGATCCTGGCTCAGGACCTCTCTCCCAGGTCACAGTTCAGTTTTCATCTAGCCGAGTTTTCTCAAGGCTTCAGGAGAGCTGGGGTCACTTGAGATGTGGCTTCCTCATAGGACAGCTGGAAATGGCTCAGGTTCCTGCTGGCTGTCCCCAGGACTCCTCTGTCCCTGATTACCTAGGTCTCTCTAGAGACTGCTCTTGACCTGGCAGCTGACTTCCCCAGAGCCAGTCATCAGAGGCAGGGCTGGGTGAGCAATATGCCCAATTTCCAGTCCCAGATCACAGCCCAACCCAAGCCTCTCTCCACCAGGGGAAAAGAGTAAGTCCTGAACACCCCAGAAGAGGAATTAATTTCACCTTTTAGGGCAGAGATAAACCTGTGAACACACAGAATAAAATCCAATGTTTCCTCAGCATCCTGTGAGTCAGAAGGATTTTGCTATCTTCTTTTTTAAGGCTTTAATTTAAAAAAACCTTAACTGAAAAATTGGGACAACCATGGAGGATGTAAGAGTCGGTGTTTCTTGACATCTTTATAAGAAATGTCTTTTTTATTTAACTGATTTGTCACTTACTCTTTTGGCAAATGTCAGATGAAGTGAACAAAACCACCTTGCTCTGGACAGTCACACTTTCTTGTTTTACTTTATACAATCTGTAAACATGTGTGAGTTAACAAAATTCTTGGCTGAAGACACATTCCAGAAATCTGACATACATGTTTCCAAGCCAGGATTAAAGAAAGCTAAGAAATTCTCAGTAGACCAGGAGCACATTTTTATTTATTAATTTTATTCATCTATACATTTTACATCCCTGTCTCAGACACCCCCCATCTTCTTTTTTCCAGTTCCCCTGACTCCCCCAGCTTCCACCCCCCCAATCCCCTCCTCTTGTCTCCATCCAGGAAAGGCAGGTCTCTCATGAGTATCAATAAAACATGGCATATCAATTTACAGTAACACTAAGAACCTCCCCATGACTAAGGCTGGGCAAGGCACCCACTATGAGTAGTCCCAAAAGCCATTAAAAGAGTTGGAGACAGCCCCTCCAGCAGCACATTTAATTTATTTCCTATATGTTGTTTTTAAATTACTGCCTGCTATTAAAAAATCTTTTTTCCTTTATACAAATCCATTTTGTTCACAAAATATAATATTAATTTTTGAAAAGTTCATTTAATGACAATGTACATTTATAGTGAAGTTGTAATAAAATACTGGTGTTTAAACAAAGCATTAGTTGTATAAAAATCATGATATAGCATGTAGAACTCATTTAGAAAGTTCATGGCTCCCAGCAGCACAGTATCCTGTCACAGCCTGAGAACATGATTGCAGGTTGACTGAGAACAGAGCAGAGTTCACAGTGAGGCTGGTGACACTCTTGTCACTAAGTGCCTTAAGAACTGATGCTGAGAACCAACCCCTTGGGGCTCCTCATAACCAGACTCTTTGGTTTCACAGAATGTCTACTGATCACTTACTTCATGGATAACTTAACTGGCAGAGACCTCACTGCAAACACTAGTGTTTCTAGAGACCAATTAAAATGAGAAGAGCCAGCATCTTTGATCTCCATTTGATGGGTGGAAGATAAATCGGTATTTTGTAGTAAAATCTTGTACAACAGCCAAGTTCTGAGGATTTTTCCCAAGATAAAAGTTCTATTGTTAAAACTCTGTTTTCAAAGAGAGCGTTGGGGTCAGTGTGTGGAAGTAGTGTTACTTACAGGATTTGAACCCATGCATCACTCACTCATGACTGCTGCTGAGCATTCTCCATCTATCAAGACCTTCCCCTGGAGAGCACCACTGTGGAGACTGTGTCAGAGCTGGAATGCCTTTAGCAAGTGTTGATGTGACAGGAAGATTCCAACCCAAAGCCACCATGTAGCTGCTCCCTGCCAGCTGTTTACCCCTCACGACCAGAAACTTGAGATCATAATGTTGTGAACCTGCCATGCATGTTTTCTGGGTGAGAGCAGAACACAGCCCCAAGGACTGGATCCAAGCTGAGACCCTGTGGACCAGTCCTCTCTGCTGATCCTACAGACAGGAGTGAGATTCTCAAAGATGGGAAATGGGAGAAACTCCAGGCAACATCCCTGGAAGGAGGCAGGAGCTCAGGAGACTGAAGTTCATCTCAGGCCACAGTCTCCTGTGTGCAGGGGACTTGAGGGGACCAGGATGGAAAATGCCTCCTCCTGCTGTCACTCAGGGACCCCAAAGGAGGATGAGACAGGCACCACTCACAGAACAAGAACAGGGTTACTCCTCCATACAAACTAAAAAGACAAGAAATAAACAGAGAAGATGGGGGGTGGGGGTGGGGGGGTGAAGAGCCATGGCCAGGTCAGAGCCCAGGCTGGCCTGTCACAGCAGCCCTGGCTGCTCACAGTCCTGGGGACAGGACAAGGCTCTGTCATCCCAGTGTCCCTGTGATCACAGACTCTGTCAGGATGTGTTTATACTAAGTGACAAGGACAGGAGCCAGGAGCACATAGCTGAGGACTGACCACAACAATTCACACATGGACTGAACTCCCGTGGCACAGCCCCATCCTCACTCAGCTCCCACAGATTCCTCCTGTCCCTCGACACTCAACATATAAAACACAGATTCTGGAAGGTTCTCCAAGCTGCCATTCATAGTTTCCATCACACTTTCAGAATCCTCTCCTTTAACTTGACCTGCTAGTCTCTCAGGTCAAGGACTTGAACATCAAGTTCACATTCAGGTTCTTATTTTCAGTGGGAAGTCAAGGGCTGCAGCTCAGGGCAGCATGGAGGTGACAGGATGGAGATGTCCCTCCTGGCTGCTGGACAGGAAGGTTGGCTGTGGAAGGCAACAAATGCCGTGCAGGCACAGGGTCCTGGTGTGCAGGACTGGGTTGGGCCCCGATGTTTTCCTATTGTATACACAGGAAAAACTCAGATATTTCTGTTCAAAGATTATCCAATGGTTCTTTAGTCAGAACTAGTCCCTCAGACCCACAGGGCAGCTGTTCTGAGATAAAGAACAAGAGTCAAGAAAGTCAATAGAAAGACCTCTCAAAGGCCCACCACTCACTGAGAGGTCTAAGTACCAGAGGCCCTGGGACCCAGTCCTCTCCTCCTTGTCTCAGCCCCAATACCAGGCTCTAGGGTGTCACCTTTTCAATCCTCCATGTAAAAGTCAGAGTTCTAGGCACTGTCCCTGCCTGCAGAAGAAATGACCAGACACAGTCAGGAGACTGACAGGTGGGGCTGGAGGAGAAACTATCTGCTCAGCTTCCACCCAAGACCCTCAGAGACAATTCTTCCTCACATACTGACCTGCAGCAGGAGCATAGCCTCCTTCTCCACCTGTGAGAAGAAAAGCTGTGAGAGACCAGGGAAGTCCTGGTCCCCAGCAAGCTTTCAGAACTGTGAGTGCAGACCAGGTTTGGTTCAGGAAGCATGGGGAAGGAGATATGCAGGGAATGAACCAATGCCAGTCTGGAGGCATTCTCTGACCTCTGAGAATCAAGTCCTCATCGCCTCCATCATCAGGGTTATGAATGTGTTTTTCATTTTCTAAGTGCTTTACATTAAGGTGATTGTCAGCATATAGACCCTGAGATTGGCATGGGTGTGCATATGGTGTGTGTGTGTGTGTGTGTGTGTGTGTGTGTGTGTGTGTGTGTACCCATTCACTGTGTACCTTTCTTGAAGGTGATAAATGAAAAAAATAGCACACACCCCGCACCTTCCATACCTGTGTTCTTCCTCATCCACATCATAACACCTCCAATGATAAAACCTAAGATCAGCACAGCTCCAAGGACAGCACCAACAATGGTCATGATGGGGAAGGACTGAGGAGTCTCTAGGGAAGGAAGGGAAAGGAAGGGAAGGTGAGGGTCCTGGTTCCGGCTCTCAGACCTGACTCTGCCCAGGGTCTGCAGAAGGCTTCATCTTTCTTGATCCCATTTACACCCAAACCCTCCTTCCCCCATCTCAGGGTGAGGGGCTCAGGCAGACCCTCATGCTGCACGTGGCATGTGTATTTCTGCCCCTCTTCAATAAGCACCACCACAGCTGCCCACTTCTGGAAGGTCCCATCCCCTGCAGGCCTTGTTTCCAGCAGCTCCATGTCCTGTGTTAGTTCCTCTTCATCTCTCTTCCATGTCATACTGATGTCAGCAGGGTAGAATCCCAGGGTCCAGCACCTGAGTGTGATGTCACCTTCAGGTCTGGGGTGATGGGTCACATGTGTCCCTGCGGGGCATGAGGAGAAGAGCTGGAAAGCTCAAGTGTTTTGCATTCTTCCTGGGGACTCCAGCAAGGTCCATGGGACCTTCCTTGGAAGCGTCAGAAATGGGGTGATGGTTGGGTGAAAATTGCTACTACTGTAGCAATCACACAGAGTTTTGGATTATCTTTTCTTGGGCAAGTCTATATATTGGCGGGGGTGGGAGGGAATCCCAGGGTCAGAGAACTCTAGGTGTCACATCAGGAAAAAGGGACTTCTCTCCTGACTGAGTGAGGGTGAG